AGATGAATAAAAAGTGGGCTCAGGTTATCTCCCTGTCTAATCCCTCTGTTACTGGGAAAGAGGGTGTAAGCCTGTTTTTGTTTTGACACACCAAGAGAGTTTTGATAGATTGATTCTATGATATTGTAGAATTTACCAGAGATGTTGTTTTTACGGAGTTTGTAAAGTAAGCCTTGGTGCCAGATTGAATCAAAAGCCGTTTTTAAAGTCAATGAAACATGCAAAGATTCGCTTTTTACTTTTTAAATATTTACTCAGTAACTGTTTAAGTACAAAGATATGATCAGCTGTTCTGAATTTTGAGATGAAGCCAATTCTTTCATTATAATGTTATTCTTATTTATATGTTTAGTAAGTCTCTCTTTTAGTACAGAGGTGAAGAGTTTACTCAGACTATTTAGAAGTGTAATTCTTCAATAATTTCCTGGGTCAGCTCGCTCCCCCTTTTTAAAGATTGGCTTGATAATTCCCATATTCCAGGCACTGGGAGAGTGACCACTATTGAGGATGTTGTTAAACAGTTTTTGTAGAGGCTTTATCAGGACATTTGTACCAGTTTTAATCATTTCATTTGTTATGTTATCTTCACCGGGAGATTTTCTATTCTTTAAAGCACTGATTGCAGTTTGAATTTCTAATTGAGAGATATTTTGGTCCAGAATGTTAATAAGTGTAATTTTGAGGCTGTCAGTTTCTATTTTTAGGTTGTAATCAAATGGGGTTTCATCTGTATTGAGGATCTTGAAATGTTCATACCACTTTTCAGCATTAATGTTATCACATAACTTATTTTCTTGTCCTCCCTTTAGTTTATTTATTAAATTCCAATATTCTACAGGACGCGAGTTACTCATTGTGTCTAGTTTAGTTAGTATATTATTCTTGTATTCTCACCTCTTCTTTTTTACAAGCTGTTTATATTTTCGCTTCATATTAGTTGTGTTCACGTTACACGAAGTACGGGCTAAGATTTAAGCTGATTTAGGCTTATCTAGCATATTTGCATTTCGGCTAGACCCAATTGCGTCCACGCACAGGGAGAGCCAGTCGTTAGCACGGGCTAAGAGGTGCTATTTATGAACGAAAAATGGATGACAGGCGCGAGGTTCTATTTCTGATGCTGACATGTTTCGTTCTAATTTTGAAGCGACGTGCACAAGAACGCGAGAGAAGACTGACCCAACTTATTTGGATGCACATAAACAGTATACAACGGGCGTAACAGAATACAGAGTTTCATTAATGCATGTCGTAGACAGCGAACCAAATTTATTTTATCTATGATTGGAGCTGCTGTACGCTCTACTACAGCGACCTGATCAGTATGGAAGCGAGTGCGGAATAATGACTGGTGGAATAGAGTCGTTATACGAACATGGGACAATGCAGGGGAGAGGGCGTTAGTTCTGGGCTAAGCGTTCATGCACACTTCGTTAGCCCGTGCTAAGGGTCTAGACCACGTCTTAAATTCGGATCAGATTTAACCCATACTTAGCCTTCCTTAGCCCGTGCTAAGCGTTCACGCACGTTTTCTTAGTACGGGCTAAGGAATTTGACCTCTTAGCCCGTGCTAAGGAGCTGTGTGTGAGCGCAATTATTATAGCATTCAGTTCTGAGCTGTTTGTTGTACAAATTAGATGATAATTTAATTGTCATTATATGAACTTCTTTCTTGAGCTTAGTCAATTCACAAGTGTACCACTTAGGTTATTTTTCTTATTTTTATGTTTTGGGTTTTTTGTCTTTACCTTACGTTTTGTTAAACTTTTACAGGCTGCAGCATGGTAACTATTCGAGAGAAGATCTGTGGCTTAATCGACTGCCTGTTGAGAGTTATCAAAATCAGTTAAATTAAAGTTATTGATTAAGTTACACATATCTTTGCAATGTAGTGCTTCATTAAAAAGAAATTTTGATTTCTCGTTCCAAATATATGTGCATGTTTGCTGTTTTAAAGTTTTTGGGGAACCTGTGTGCAACATATCAGTGATAGAGATTTTTAGCAAGGCATTTGTTTGAATGTGCTAAGATATCTGGCAGTGATCTGACAAGGTTAAATTCAAAGGATGTACTAGTATATAGAACAAAGAAATATTTTTAAATATATTTCTACTAACTATTGTATAATCTACAATGCTACTACCCTGACTCTGGTAACGTGTACATTTACCAGTAAGATCCCCTATGCATCTTCCGTTAAGTATGTCAGTGTCATATGTTATGTATGATAGATTAAAGAATGAGACAAAAACATAATATTGAGGTCCATACTTCAAAACTACTTTGGGTGTCCCAACATTTTTCAGAATATAAAACTGCATTCATAAAATGTGATTTAGTTTATTTTGTAGGAAACTACCGCTCTTAAAGGGCAGTGGTTGTCAAGATATGGGACTCATGATGGCAACTTTGGTGGCAGACCAATGAGTACAAACTGAAATGTTACCAACGTTTAACTGGGTAATTTTGTTGGTGATTGGAAGGTAACAAAGGAATCACTGGCAGAAAGAAGTTCACATCGCGCCAAGTTCAGAACTTGTACTCATAATTTCCATCAATTTCACACATGGGCGGCATGACAACCACTGCCCTTTAACCTTTTCACCACCAGTTCCCTATTTTTATCACAAATTAACAAAAAGTCTCATTTATAGCAAAAATAGAAAAAATGTTTTGAGTAAAAAATGAAAATCAACTTAAATTTTGTCTGTTTGCTCCAAAATTAGGGTTCATTTCCAGAAATATTGTAGAATATAGGAAAAAAAGTGCAGAAATATTTGGGTGAGAAAGTCTGGTGATGAACGGGTTAATGTTTAGACTGGTGATAACATTTTCAATGTGCAATTCTATGAGAATGCAAATCAGTAATGGAAATAGACAACGACGGACAATCTGATTTCAATATTAATGCTAAGGCTTTTATTTATTTTTTTCAACAGAGATCATTTGATGATGGTAGTTGGGGAGCCTCATTGGCCTCACAATTACAGAGGTATGTACAGTATGCATGATCAGGGCCAATCATCAGATTATGCATGTTCAGAGTCAATCAACAGATTATGCGTGTTTAGAGCCAATCATCAGATTATGCATGTTCAGAGTCAATCAACAGATTATGCGTGTTTAGAGCGAATCATCAGATTATACGTGTTTAGAGCCAATCATCAGATTATGCATGTTCAGAGTCAATCAACAGATTATGCGTGTTTAGAGCCAATCATCAGATTATGCATGTTCAGAGTCAATCAACAGATTATGCGGGTTTAGAGCCAATCATCAGATTATGCATGTTCAGAGTCAATCAACAGATTATGCGTGTTTAGAGCCAATCATCAGATTATGCGTGTTTAGAGCCAATCATCAGATTATGCATGTTCAGAGTCAATCAACAGATTATGCGTGTTTAGAGCCAATCATCAGATTATGCATGTTCAGAGTCAATCAACAGATTATGCGTGTTTAGAGCCAATCATCAGATTATGCATGTTCAGAGTCAATCAACAGATTATGCGTGTTTAGGGCCAATCATCAGATTATGCATGTTCAGAGTCAATCAACAGATTATGCGTGTTTAGGGCCAATCATCAGATTATGCATGTTCAGAGTCAATCAACAGATTATGCGTGTTTAGAGCCAATCATCAGATTATGCATGTTCAGAGTCAATCAACAGATTATGCGTGTTTAGAGCCAATCATCAGATTATGCATGTTCAGAGTCAATCAACAGATTATGTGTGTTTAGGGCCAATCATCAGATTATGCATGTTCAGAGTCAATCAACAGATTATGTGTGTTTAGGGACAATCATCAGATTATGCATGTTCAGAGTCAATCAACAGATTATGCGTGTTTAGGGCCAATCATCAGATTATGCATGACCAGGGCCAATCAACAGATTACGTGTTTAGGGCAAATCATCAGATTATGCATGTTCAGGGCCAATCATCATATTATGTACGTTTAGGGCCAATCATCACATTCTGCATGTTTAGGGCCAATCATCAGATATGCATGTTCAGGGCCAATCATCAGATTATGCATGTTCAGGGCCAATCATCAGATTATGCATGTTCCAGGCCAATCATCACATTCTGCATGTTTAGGGCCAATCATCAGATATGCATGTTCAGGGCCAATCATCAGATTATGCATGTTTAGGACCAATCATCAGATTATGCATGTTTAGGGCCAATCATCAGATTATGTGTGTTTAGGGCCAGTCAGGTTATGTAAATCATAATTAAATAATGTATGAAATCTTCACACAATTTTGAGGGTGTTTAAAAGAGAAAATTTCACAGAATTCAAAATGATAGCCATCTTTTTAAGACCCAGTGAAATATATACTTATACAGAATTTTGCCTTTTTTCCTCAACTTTGTTTAATTCAAAAAAATATTTTTCACAAAAATGCGATTTTTACAGAAAATGTGACATAGTTTGCCGTGGTTTTTCTGGATACAACACCAGATGGAGCAAGATCATACTACCACAGATTATTGATAAACAAATGGCATCAGATGTTTCCGTGGTAACTATTTTCTTTGGAGCAAATGACGCTGCTCTTCTTGAAAAGGATCCTCAACAACACGTGCCTTTGGAAGAATATGAACAGAACTTACAGGTAGAGAGTAAGATTGTTGCTCTATACGAAAACTTTAAACATTATGTAATACACACACCTTGAATTAGCAAGAGTACAGAAAAAACAGTATACTATACAGTTTTTTCTAGTGGACACAAACCCACAATAAAAATTTGAATATGCATGTCCTTCGCAAACGTCAGCCAATCACAACCCTTCAACAGACACAAAGCTGAATAATTTTGTTGACCTTATTTGGAATATTAAAGGTTAAAGGTCAATAATTTTTCATGTGGAGCTTTTTGTTTTGATACCACCAGTTGTCTGAGATTTTGTATTATTTTGCAGTCTGACTGGAATCAGTGTCACTAATGGAAGTCCTGGAGTAATACTGTAAAATGACTAATTTTCACTGGGTCTAAATTTCACTGATTTACCATTTCAGGCATATTCAGTGGGTTTTAAATTCACGGTTTTATCATTTAGAGATAAACACTAACTAGTTTTTTCTAGTGCACACAAACCCACAAAAAAATTTGAATATGCATGTCCTTCGCAAACGTAAGCCAATCACAATCCTCCAACAGACACAAAGCTGAATAATTTTGTTGACCTTATTTGGAATATTAAAGGTCAATAATTTTTCATGTGGAGCTTTTTGTTTTGATACCACCAGTTGTCTGAGATTTTGTATTATTTTGCAGTCTGACTGGAATCAGTGTCACTAATGGAAGTCCTGGAGTTATACTATAAAATGACTAATTTTCACTGGGTCTAAATTTCACTGATTTACCATTTCAGGCATATTCAGTGGGTTTTAAATTCACGGTTTTATCATTTAGATAATATGTTCAATGTTCGATTTTACATATTCCCTGGGTTTTAATTTAGAGCATTTTCCAGTCAGCGAAAAAAGCAAAATTAAAACCCAGTGAATAATTAACCCTTTTACAGTAGTGCACATGATATTATATGTTTACAGTTACATGTATGTAACCAAAATTACATGTTTCCAAACGTGGACTTGGTATAAATGTATGTACCTATGGAATAGATGTTAATAAATACTGAATCAGTATGTTCATTTCAGAGTCTGGTTGATTACTTAAATAGTGTTGGTATTACAAATGATAAAATTATATTCATTGCTCCTCCACCTCTCGATGAACTTGAATGGGAAAAAGCATGTATACTGAAAGGTATTTATTTATTTATTTATTTATTTATTTATATATTTATTTATTTACTTATTTACTTACTTACTTACTTACTTACTTACTTACTTACTTACTTACTTACTTACTTACTTACTTACTTACTTACTTACTTACTTACTTACTTACTTACTTACTTACTTACTTACTTACTTACTTACTTACTTACTTACTTACTTACTTACTTACTTACTTACTTACTTACTTACTTACTTACTTACTTACTTACTTACTTACTTACTTACTTACTTACTTACTTACTTACTTACTTACTTACTTACTTACTTACTTACTTACTTACTTACTTACTTACTTACTTACTTACTTACTTACTTACTTACTTACTTACTTACTTACTTACTTATTTATTTATTTATTTATTCATTCATTCATGACCAAATTATTGTCTTTTAGTTTGTAAAGAAACTATGCTTCATGAACTTCATTCCACAGATGGTTTTGATTGATTCTGTTGTTTCTATGGTTACACATGTCATGTTGATGTCATCATTGTTTGGTGGGGGGCAAGTGCATGAATAATCTTTGATGAACTTGGTTCTTGGTACTCCGCTGTCAACTTTGCCGAGCAGAATATGAATGATTATCTGTGTTGTTCATCGGTGTCCACATAAATTTTTTACTTTTTCAACTTCTCCTTTGGACAAAATATTTTCTAATTTGGATGACTATTTAGGGCATTTCTGGTAAAAAGTGATATTTTTGATTTTTTGTTGAAAACCGCACGGCCATTTGCTTTGATATTATATTTACCTCAGGTGGACCTCTCTCAGATTTGTCTTTAATTCTTTAATTGAAATGTGCATTGCTAACAGCAGAGCTATCTCAGCCGAGAAGCTGCTTGTACCGGTATATTTATTTATTCGTTTATTTATCCATTCATTCATTCATTTAGGAAGTGTACTTAATAGAAAGAATTCTGTTACGGGTGAATACAGTCGTGCTTGTTGTAAGGTTGCTGATAGGAACAAAATAGATTGCATTGGTCTGTGGACAGATATGCAGCAAGATAAGGTATGATACATCATCTACTCAGGAAATATACGAGTGATGCACTTACCATTACCGATATCACATGGTACAAATCAACGCTATCAGAAGTAGTGTCTTTTATGTTGTCATAAGATATCGTAAAATCTGTAATAGAAGCTGCATCCCTAATATAAGTCGCACCCATTCTTTTTGAGCAATTGAGAACCAAACATTCATCATTTCTCATATGGTATGTGTAGATGCTCTAATAGAAGACGCATCCCCTCTGTTGCATTGTACCATTTTAATAGAAGCCGCGGTTTCTAATACAGATTTTACAGTAGTGTCTTTTATGTTGTCACAACATACCATAAAATCTGTATTAGAATCTGCATCCCTAATAGAAGTCACACCCATTCTTTTTGAATAATTGAGAAACAAACATTCACAATTTCTCATATGTGTAGATGCTCTAATAGAAGCCGCATCCCCTCTATTGCATTGTACCATTTTAATAGAAGCCGCAGCTTCTAATACAGATTTTACAGTACTGTAAAATACTTCATTTCTGCTTGATATTTATTTTCACTATTTTCGCTGAAGTGAAAATAAATTCAGCGAATGTACCTTTTTTCCCATATTTTACATTCAACTTGTCAAAAATCAGTGAAAATAAATTCCATACAAATCATTCAGTGAAAATAAATTCCAGTATTTTACAGTGATAGCACGATAATGCAAACCTCAAATCGCAAGCAATTTTATTTCAAAGAAAAACCCATATCTAACGAAATTTGTTTAATTCTGATAGTGGTGATTTATAACAATAATAATGAACTCCACGGTGTCATATTGAGTCCGGAGAATGGTCCAGATGCAAAAATTTGCTCATCTCACACATTATCTTGCCAAAGACCCTGGTTCTCGTCTAATATGGCTTTGTGGGTGGGGGTGGCGGTGTGGGCGGGGGCGTCATGGGTTATTATTGTTTAAATAACAGGACAATGGCTGGGATGTGGCATGGTTGAGACACCCAAGCCTAGTTATCATGGGCAGTGTGAAGTTCAATTATATATGTCTGTGAATTGGTAAAAAATATAATATATGCAGTGGGAGGGAGGAGTATGCTCAAAACGATCATTATCAAATGTGTTTTTAGTGTATCAAAGACACAAGCATTCAACTATATTTGTATGCAGGTTCAGGGCCATTAGAACACAACAAAGTACATGTAACACTATAAAACCTACACCAATTCACTCACTCCTTTAGTATGCAGGTTCAGGGCTAATAGAATGTATAAATAAAATGTCATCAATACAACTGCTTCATCAGTATGCAGGTTCAGGGCCAATTGAATATTTTAATAACATTTTATCATTCAGATGCTCTATTTTTATGCAGGTTCAGGGCCAACAGCATAATTCAAATTGTCCAAATTAGGTCATCAAGATGAAACATAGAATAATTGATCAGGTCCCATCATAACAATAATCAGTTTCCATGACAATTTTCACCTTTTATAGGACTGGAAGAGATTCTTTTGTGATGGTTTGCATTTCTCAGAAGATGGGGCACGTTTTCTAGATGACAAATTATCACCACTGGTTTTAGAGAAGACGTCTCATTTACCGTTTCTTTATCCACTTTGGGATGAAGTGGACGCCAAAAATCCGGAATCCACTTTGGACAATTATAAAGCAGCCAAGGAGGAACTGTGATCTCTGCAACTCAGTATGCAACCTGTATAACCATGGCAGTGTCTTTAGTGTTGTATTAGACTTGCTTAGGCCAGACTTTTTTTGTTCTTTGTTTCTCGAGGCAATTCTTTTGAGGAGGGCGTAAAAAAAAAAAATTCTTTTTTTCCATTAGATTTGTGTGATTCTCAAAGAATTGTAAGTGAGATCATTGATCGGAGAGAAGAAATGAAATAAAATTTTATTCCATGTATAACCTTGTTTCTCATCTGCGCGAGACTTTGGTAATTTGATACTCCCACGAAAATGCAACTTGGATTTGGTATGAGGCGGGCGGTAAAAAAATGAAGATAAAAATAATATTTTTTTAGCAATTTTTTGCGCTTACAAGTCGGCGGGCGCGAGAAATTTTATTTTCTGCTCCTGTTCATTCGGCGGGTTCGCGAAACAAGGGATAAAAAAGTCTGGCCTTACAAGTCTTATAGTAAAAAAACTGAATAAATTAAAACAGAATCTCTGAAAATAACAAAAAAGGGAATCAATGGAATGTTTGCAAATAAAACAATAATAATAAATTTATTACACTACTAAAAACCTTCAGATGGTTTTTGTATGGTAAGAACATAAATACAATAAAATATAAATACCAAAAATTCAAGAGATAAAATTCTATTTTGGACTTTGTTCTTCTACCTCATGGGATCACTCAGATGGAATTTTGAAAGCATTTTCACGAGGCTGAAATTTGAAATGTTTTGCGAATAATTTTCCTAACCTACTTTGAATAATTTATATGTTCTCTAATTTCATTGGTTTCACTGAGATTCAGTTTTTCTCTCCATCTTTGAATATAATTTTCAGATAGTTTCAGATTTTTTACGTATTTGATCCCAATTTTTCATTTTGTGATCATTTTTAATTTTAATAAGATCATGTCCCAGTGTAGCATTAATATTCCTTACCCAGTTTGAATTAATTTTTATCATTTCATCCAGGGTTAATTTTAAAATGTGATTATCTGGCAGACTATATAGTCTATGCCAGTATTTAATTTGAGCCAAATTGATTTTTAATTTTATTGGTAACCTACCAAGTTCTGCTTTCAAACCACTAATTGGCGTCATTTTACTCACTCCTAGGATAAACCTGTAAAAATGACTGCAAACTTGTATGACTTGTATCCCTTGCATGCACTCATAGCATCACCAACGCCACCAGTGATGTAGATGTAACTAATTCTATTGCTGGAATAACCAGATCATCCAATCAGAAACTAATACATTTGCATAATATGCAGATGACCTATCATCTGTTCTCGGCATCCGCTTCATCAATATTTTCTCCCTTTGCACTTTCATTGTTCAACTTTTTGCAATGCCCTGTGGTAACTGTACCATATAAGCATTGAACTGTGCAGGATTTGGTGACTATTGGTGTCTGGTTCGTTGCCATGGTG